CTCTCTCTCTCAAATAAATAAATAAAATCTTTAAAAAAAAAAATATATATATATATATATTCAGAGTTGTGCCACCATCACCAAATCTAGTTCTAGAATATTTTCATCACCCCAAAAAGAAACCCCATATCCATTAAGCAGTCAGTTCTTATTTCCCCCCAACCCCCCCACCTCTTGGCAATCACTAATCTACTTTCTCTTTCTATAAGTTTGCCTGTTCTGCACATTTCATATAAGTAGAATATTTTGTGACTGACTTCTTTCACTTAGCGTAATGTCTTTAAGGTTCATCCATGTTGTAGCATGTGTCAGTATGTCCTTCCTTTTTAGGGCCAAATATTCCATTCTATGAACATACCACATTCTCTTTATTCACTCATCAGTTGATGAACATGTAGGGTTTTTTTGGTTTTTTGGGGGGTTTTTTTGTTTTTTTTTTTGAACATGTAGGTTTTATGTTACGCTTTAAAAGGCTCTCCCATTGCTTTATAGTCATATCCTGAGATACAACCTGGGTCATTCTTCTTATTTATTAATAGTTACAGTGAATGTAATTTTAAGGTTATATCTCTTTGAAGGATAAGGACTCTTGATAAATTCTGGCATAGTTTTTAAGTCAGTCTCTGTATTTAGTAGTCATACTTGGTATATAGTCAGTTTTATCTTATTCTCACCTCCAAATGTAAGTACACTGGGACATGAATTTCTGTATTCCACTATATTTATTAGGTGTTCTAGAATAATTGTTTTTATATGTGGGGCATATAGGCTGCCTGCATATGTTTGGGAAGGGCTTTCTCAACCAATTTAATAGGCTAGCCTAATTTTTGACCGTATGGAAAAATTTTTATAATACTGTTGCTTATCTGTATGAACAATATTCATTATTCCTTGTTTTTCTTTTTTAGTGAGCATCACCAGTTTTATCCCACGTTTCAACTTTCTAAGCATAGATCTGCCTGTGGTTGTGGAGACATTTGTCAAGTATCCTTTCTGGTGTGAAGAATGTTTTTAAAAGTGTTACTTGGAACATGATCAGGCTTACCTTGAGTAGAGCATGCATAGACCTTACAAGTACCGATTGATTGCTAACAATTAAAAAGGAGACTTTAAAGTTGAAAAAGATCAGATTGGGTACCTAGAAGGGAAGAAGTCATGGGAGAGAGATCGGTGGGGGAAGGAGAAAAGTTAAGATATAGAAGGAAGGGAACCCAGACTATAAATTGAGAGTTGAATTTACAGATCTAAGACCCTTTAGTAAGTTTATAAAGAATGAAAGCTTCAGTTACTACCACGGTGATGAATTCTGCCCCTTCTGAGCCTGTTAGCTCTGACTAAGTGGAGGAATGCGTAAGGGAGATCGAACTGGTTTCCACTATTAAAATAGCAGTTCAGAGGACAAAATCTTGTGTTCTTTAGCATATTCAGTTTGAATGTAAAACTTGGTTTTTTAAAATTCATCATTATGAAGAATCTGAACAAACCGAACAATTTGTAAGGGTTATTTTTGTCACTTTTTTTTTTTTACTTTCTAGATTTTATTTCTAAGCATGAATCTTTTTTGTTTTTTTAATTCCAGTGTAGTTAACATTACAGTGTTATATTAGTTTCAGGTGCACAACACATATTTTTGTGACTTTCAAATCATTTTCATTTCCTTCCTCAATAATTTGCAAAAAAATGAAAGGGAAAACAAATGAGCAGCTACTGAAAAATATGTACAACCAAGATTGTACCCTGTAGATTACACCTTTGTCTCAGAGATTTATGATAGACATAAGCTTATAGATGATAATAAAATAGAGTGATGTTATATTTATGCTATAACCTTATAGATAATAGTAAAATAGAGTTGAAGCAGCCAAAATCTTTATGTTTCCTAAGATAAGTTAATACTTTGTAAGGATCAAAAAGTGATTTTCCCTTATTTCTAATTGCTTCCACATTCCTTTCCCTCCTTGTGTCATTAGAGGATTACAAAGACTCTGTCTTTCTCTGAGTTTGTTATAGATTGCCTTAGTTTACAAATGGTTGCCCTTTATTTTTCTAGTCAAGGTTTTTGAGCTTTGAAATAATATAAATAATTTGTTTGAAATAGTAGAGATCTGGGGTGCCTAGGTGGCTCAGTCAGTTGAGCGGCCAGCTCTTGGTTTTGGCTCAGGTCATGGTCTCAGGGTTGTGGGATCAAGCCCCTCATGGGGCACCTTGCTCAGCAGGAAGTCTGCTTCAGGATTCTTTCTCTCTCCCCCTCTGCCCCTCCCCCCTGCTTCACCCATGCACCCTCACTCACTCTCTCTAAAATAAATAAATAAATCTTTTTAAAAACAAATAAATACCAGGATCTAAGAAGGAATATCCTGTACTGGTGGGCAGAAATTTAAAGAAAGGAGGGAAGTCAACTATGATCTCAAATGCAGTCCTAGTAAAATATCTTCTTCTGACTATTAGATATGTTTTCCACTCAGACTTCACAGTCGGCTCCTTAACTCATTTTAACCAGGTACCTGATTTCCCTCTCAGGAGCTCTAGCTATTGTTAATGCAGTGCCCTGCTTTGCTTTGGATGGTCAGTGGATTTTAAACTCTTTCCTAGATGCTACCCTTACCTCAGTGATTGGAGACAATGATATCAAAGATCTGATAGGATTTTTCATCTTGCTCGGTGGTAGTGTACTTTTGGCTGCCAACGTGACCCTGGGACTCTGGATGGTTACAGCACGGTAATATTTGCACTCATCTTGCAGAATGATACTTCATATGAAATAGAAAGCATTTCCTTAAAATTACATTTTAACCAACGACTTTAAGCTCCTCCTGTATCAGAATATCCAAACTCTGGGATGGGGGATAAACAGAAGAAATGAAAGGCATAGTCTCTGACTACATCCAACTTTTAAAGACTGAACTTAACAAACTTCAGATGCTTGTGGAACAATTTCTAAACAAGTGAAAATTCATGTTAAACCATTTTGTGTGACTACATATCATATTGCAGTAGTGTAAAGGAGAACAGAATTGGGTGGAATTAATCGGGGAAAACTTTTTGAAAAAGCATCATTAATCCAGATTTGAAGAAGACCAGACTCTGGCCAAGTGGAAGGGTGAGCATTTTCTTGGCCTATATCTCTTGTCCTTTTTCTTAGTTTGAAAAGTATTTTAAGATTTATTGGTATATTATTTTGTACTCTGACAACTGAGGTCTGATTACAATTAATAAAATTCTATGAAAGAATCTGCTGACATGAAAGGGAAAATCTTTGTCAAATGATACCAAATAGGTGAACAAAGTAGGAAGTAGGGCTTACAATGATAAATGCTTTGCCCCACAAAAGTTGCCTCTTTGATAATGTGTCCCCATATGCTCCTAAAGCAGCACTGTGTTCAGACATTCAGACTGAGCTACAAGAAGTATCTTCCACTTGCAGCATGTGAGTTGAGGAAGTTAAAGTTGAGCGTGAGAACTGAGCTTGGTCTTTTAACAGATCACGAGACAGATCTACTGCAGTCCTGGTTACCATTCTCTACAGAGCTTTGAAGCTCGGAACCTTTCCAGGGTAGACGTTTTCTCTTGTGCTGCTGGGGTTATCTGGGGCCTAGGTCCTGGGTTCCTGTCTTCAAGGAGCAACTACCTTAAGCTCTCAACCATACTCTGTTCTCACCAGCAGCTTCCATGTTTCTCTGTATTGAGTAATTAAACACCTAGTCCTTGTTTTCCATCTTTCTCCTAAGCTACCTCTGTGGGTCCACAGAAGACTTGGTAGTACAGTGAGAATGGCTACACATGAGTACAGATGTGGATTTGCCAGAGCCTGGGAACTGACTCTTGAGCCCAAAAGAGCCCTGAGTAGTTCAAGGTCTTTTGGACTGGAGCTGGAGCCCTGGAAGATCCAGGAAGTCACTTCAGGCCACTGTGAACTCTTGGTCTTCTAAGTGTCTGAGCGTGCTGTTCTTTAATGAAAAATATGTGCTTCCCTCATACACTCAAGAACATTAACAACTGTGTACCCAACTTTTTCACTAAGTGAGGCATTCCATGGGGTTCACCTTTTTCTGATCATTGAGCCGCACTTCAGGCAATAAAGGTTTTTAATCATTTTTAAGAAACTCTTTAGACTGTATGCAAGTTTGCCTGCCTTCTTAAATAGAAATTATTTATTGAGTATAATGTTAAGATTTTATTAATGACTTGAGGTCATCAGTTAAACCATACAAGTTATTCGTTTATCCCAGAAAAAAGGTGGTTGTTCTATTCTTAGGTAGATAGTGATTCAGGATCAAAGTCTTAGCAGAGAGCTCAGACCTGTTTAGGTAGTAGAGCTTGGGGAATGCCATGAAATACTTGCATAATTAATTTGATTACATGAACTATGCAGTTTACTAATGAATATGTCGTATATGTGCAGATCAGTTTTTTAAAACAGAAAAAAACTTAAATAGAGGAGCTCCTACCCATTAACTTCTTTTTCTGGGTGGAAAAAAAACAACAACTGCAACAACAACAACCAAACACCTCATTTTCTTGTAGCATTTGAACATCTTGGTCTCTTGCTTCATAGGGTCAGGCTTTGAGAACCACTCTTATTAGGATAATGAGCAGATCAGTCACATTTGTATAGAAATGGCCTCATCGTGTAAAAAAGGAAATGTTGTCTGTTGTCTCTTCAGCTTGATTGTGGGCACTTCTGGAGCAAGGACCATGCCATACTCATCTTTGCATCCCTGGCACAGTGCATGAGACATCATAAATACTTAATAAACATGGTTGAATGGATGATGAATACTGGTATTTATGGATTAGAAAAGCATGTTTCTATTTAAGTAAGCTATGAATAGTATTATTGAATATTTACTGTAAATATGTTAACAAAAAAATAACTTGGAAGGTCTTTGTGTCCCTAGTATATTATCATCTTTATGAAAATAATCCATTTTGGTTCCTGTAGAGCAATTAGAAAAATGAATTACTTTGAGGATTTGAAGAAAATGTACTTTCTGTGTTGTCACGTTCAACAGTACAACTTTATTTTCAGTGTTCCTACTCTACGTTGTTTACATTTTCAGCAGTTTTTTTAACTCACCTACAATATGTAAAGAACGTATATATTCTTTTCATCTCAGTTTGAAAAGACATGCGTTAAACTTGACCTTTTGATGATCGCTCTTATAAGGTCATTGTCTTCTAACAGCAAATTTTAAACAAGTACTTCATGGATACATGGCTTTCAGTCATCAGTTTGTCCTATGGTATTTATTGAATGTCCACATACTAATTGATGGTGCACAGGTATTTTTTTCTACAGATCTTTCGACTGTGCTGTAATTCATTCTTAGTATTCAAGTTGAAGATACCATAGTTGCTGGCATTTGATGTTTAGCAATAAAAGAATAAATGTGTACCAGCACTCTATCTTTTATCATATTTATGTGTTGTCTTTTTTTAAAAAAAACCATTCTATCAAAAGTGTTCCCTTTACATACAGTATGATCTTTGTTGTTTTAAATTCTTGTTTCTAAAAGCAGCCTTCAGTTTTCACTCAAGCAGTCCTTATATGAAAGTTGTTGCCGGCCACAGAAGGAAGTCTTTTTTTTTTTTTAAGATTGTATTTATTTATTTGAGAGAGAGAGAAAGCAAGAGAGCACAAGCAGTGGGGAGAGGGAGAAGCAGACTCCCCACTAAGCAGGGAGCCTGACGTGGGGCTCAATCCTAAGACCCTGGGATCATGACCTGAGCCGAAGGCAGACACTTAACTGACTGAGCCACCCAGGTGCCCCAAAAGAAGTCTTTTTTAAATAAGATTCCTGAGCTCTTACTAGTGTTTTGGAAATGACCTGTTTATGGATGAAGAAAGAGGACTATCACGTTTCCTTTCAATAGTGTCTGACAGAAGTCTTCTCTAAGTTAGCCTGTTTCTTAGGAATTCATGGAAAAGTATTTCAACTCTGACATTTGGTTCGTCTTGACCTTTTGCTCTAGCACTTCCTCCCTTGTCCACAGGACCAGCCTCAATCTCTCTCTCCCTCTCCTTTTCTCTCTCTCCCTCCCACTCTCTCTCTCTTTCCCTCTCTATGCCACCCCCCCCCCACACACACACATAGGCACATAATCTCTTTCTAGATTACCTAAAATCCAGATAAAATAGGCTGGAAATTTAGCCCAAATCCTCATTGGCTAGCATCATTCCACGCCTCCTTTTTGCCTCTGATCCCATTCTACTACAGTTAAGAGCCACAAGACTAGATGACTGATTATCTAAACCACTTTTTTTTTAGCAGCTTGAGATAGAATTAAATACCATAAAATTCACCTGTTTAATGTGTACAATTCACTGTAAACTCTTTCTTTTAATGACTACTCAAACAATAGTATACATAGGCTTTAGTATAATCTAACCTTTTAAGCAAATGAGCATGTGATAAAAGACTGGGAAGAAAGAAAATGTTTCATTTATTTCACAGCTTTTAACTCTGAGGTGGTTTTCAGTACTGGAATAGAGTTGAATAACAAATCATTTTTAAGGTTAAGCATGTAGAGGGGTGCCTGGCTGGCTCAGTCAGTAGAGTATGCAGCTCTTGATCTTGGGGTTGTGAGTTCAAGTCCCATGTTGGGTGTAGAGATTACTTAAAGATAAAATCTTAAAAAAAACAAAAAAAGGTAAAACATGTGATGGCACCTTGGGTGGCTCAGTCGGTTAAGCATCTGACTCTTGATTTTGATTCAGATCATGACTCAGGGTTGTGAGATCGAGCCCTGTGTTGGGCTCTGCACTGGGTGTGGAGCTTGCTTGAGTCTTTCTCTCTCCCTCGCCCTCTGTCCCTCCCTCCCTAAAAAAAAAGATAAAGCATGTGGATATATTTTCTTTGAGACAATACGCCTTTTTAATTGGTGTATTTGCAAGCTGCTCTTGCTGTTTTGGTCATACTAATTTGAATAATCCATTGTATATTTTATCAGACCATGGCAAATGAATTCAATGAAAGGAAAGTCTCTATTTCAAAACCTAATGCCACAACAGATTATACTCAGGGTGGAAGTAGGGAAAAAATGGCTAAAGGAAGCTGCAATTCTAATTACCAAGCAGGTTATATTGCCTAATTTCCCAATGAAGAGAGACAAAAACATCCTTATAGCTTAGTTTTATTTAGCTAAAGATTGAAGGATATTCAATAATTGTCCCTTCTTATTAAATGACCATTTCTCAAATTTTTCTACTGATGTGCTCCTGACACCTTAGAGAAGGGAAAAACTCAGAAAGATCTAAGAGTAGAACCCTATAATTGGCTTCCATCCTACAAAATTGAAGTCTTGCTTTATCTTAAATTTATGTAAATTTTACACTCAGCACTTCCTCCCTTGTCCACAGGACCAGCCTCAATCTCTCTCTCCCTCTCCTTTTCTCTCTCCCCCTCCCACTCTCTCTTTCCCTCTCTATGCCACCCCCCCCACACACACACACATAGGCACATAATCTCTTTCTAGATTACCTAAAATCCAGATAAAATAGGCTGGAAATTTAGCCCAAATCCTGATTGGCTAGCATCATTAGACAGTAGTATCATAAAGCCAGTTCTCTTAAAGATATGAAACTCTAAACTGTGAAAGAATTAGATGCTAAGAATATTAATATTTTTTTCATGTGTCCCTAAAACACATTGGTAGAAGTAGTTTATAACAGCTGGTCTGTAGACTAGTGACAGTCTGTGGTGGTATTGTTGTCTATTTCTAGTGAAATGAGAAAAGTATGTTATATCTAATTACAAAATAAGGAAAATGTATTTGTGTTGTTATAAGGTGCCTGCTGTCCTTTATCAAGAAGCTCTCCTTTATTTGGATTATGGAAACACATACGTAAGTTCACTTAGCCCTTCTAGATTGCTCTGCAGAATGTCTCTCTAACTGACCCTCATCAGCAAGGCATTAGGGTTCCATGTTTCCCCATGCCCTTACCTCCACTTGAATTGTCTGACTTTTCATTGGGTACAAAATGACATTTCCTTTTAATTTGCATTTCTCAGATTAACAAAGTTGCGCATCCATATACTTGTTTAGTTGCTTAGATTTTTCGTTTTGCCAGTTGCTTATTGATACCCTTTGCTGGTTGTCCATTGAGTTTACTAAATTTTTCCTATTGATCCGTAAGAATTTTTTGTATATTCTAGATTAGGAGTCAACAAACTGTAGCCTGCAAGCCAAATCCCGCTCACCACCTATTTGTGTAAACAAGGTTTTCTTTTTTTTTTTTTTTTT